GTGTTTGTCAAAACAAATGCGAGAAACTTCAGGGGGTGATTCCTTGTCCAAAATAAAGGGTAGTTTGCTTTATAAACGTTGGGTTAAAAGTCAACCATTGGGGAGATATGGCGGTACAAAGATGGCGGAAAAATAATATTTTTATTTTTTATCTTGAAAACGAAAAGAGATAGACTAATGAAATTTTATGGAAGCATTACTATTATGAAAACATACTTTCTGGTAATTTTTTCACTTTTTTTAAAATGAGTGGAAGGGGTTGAAATAAACTACCCCTATAATTCTTGTTAACGAAATTTAAAGGAAAATCTTATCAAACACATGCAAAAAAATTAATTTGGATAGCTTAGTTTGTTTAGAAACTTTTTTATCTCTTGTGGTTTTTTTGATAAAACTCACCGATTTGAAATTAAAAAATAAAATGTAAAGCATTACATGTCAGGACAAAAAACATTTTTAGATAAAGAATCTAGGGGGCTGCTGTAATTTTTTTAGGAAAAAATCTAATCGGCCGCTGTCACTTTTTAGGATGTTTCTAATATTATTTTATTTTACCATTACTCTACTGCCAATACGTTATTATTTAGATTATTATTATTATCATTATTATCACTAGATTCTTAATTTAAAAATGTTTTTTTGTCCTGACATGTAATGCTTTACATTTTATTTTTTAATTTCAAATCGGTGAGTTTTATCAAAAAACCACAAGAGATAAAAAAGTTTCTAAACAAACTAAACTATCCAAATTAATTTTTTTGCATGTGTTTGATAAGATTTTTCTTTAAATTTCGTTAACAAGAATGATAGGGGTAGTTTATTTCAACCCCTTCCACTCATTTTAAAAAAGTGAAAAATTACCAGAAAGTGTGTTTTCATAACAGTAATGCTTCCATGAAATGTCATTAGTCTATCTCTTTTCGTTATCAAGATAAAAAATAAAAACAGTATTTTTCCGCCATCTTTGTACCACGATATCTCCCTAATGGTTGACTTTTGACCCAACGTTTATGAAGCAAACTACCCTTTATTTTGAACAAGGAATCACCCCCTGAAGTTTTTCGCATTTGTTTTGAAACACCCTGTATATTAATTAGAATATTTTTTTCCGCAGGTCATACAGCTAATATTTTCCGAGATACAGCCGAAAGCCATTCTTATAGTAGTAGGACACCCTGAAGAAAAATAAATGCTTAAACATTAAGTCTCCAACCCATTACCATATTAAACCTAAATAATACCGGGAAAACTGCGAAATTCGGCTCCATTTTCCGCCGTTCTTCAACAATTTTCCTCCAAATTAAACAAGGCAAGACTTAATTCTCTCTTTAACGACTGCTCAAACTTTCGAAACTTGTTTCCAATGAAGCTGCGACCGGTCTCCCCTAATTTCTGCCCTGCTAAAAAGCACGGGGTACTCCCCCCTCCCCTGCCGCAGCGTGACGCATTTATAATTTAACGCTCTCTAAGTGCCGATTAAAATTAATTCTCATCCCTTATGGAGATTGAGAGACGTTTTCGATTTCCTCGGTCCTGTACAGGATTTATGAGCTCTTAATTCTGCTGAATTTTGAGAAGAAAATTTAATTTGATTTGGTAATCGGGTTGTTTTCTTCGAAAAGCACCAACTGACATTGTCTTTGGCAGAGCTGCAAGCTCACAGAAAACTTAATTATTTTTTGATTTAAATCATTTTTTTTTCCATATCAACTGTTAAAATTGCCTTATATCTATCAAAAATAGTAGGTAAAATAGTACTTTAAAAGCAAGGGTATATTAAATGATACTTTAACAGCGAGGATAGGTTAAAAACTTTATTTCTTCTCGCACGTTTTTTAATTGCTTCCATTTTTGAAAATTTTTGTATTCGTTATTCAGGATTTAAATGGAAGTATAGTCCGTCTAGAAAGTATCCGGAAAAAAGAAAGCAAAATTACAATTATCGATATATATTTTTAGGACTTGAGTTAAAACAATTATAACAAATTATTAATTTTATTTACTTGTACAACCTCCATTTAACTCCAAACGCTTAACAAACGTCCAGGTACACCCGAAACTAGGTCCACACCATAATGTTCAGTGGCGGTAGTCCAGGCCTGTAAAACTGAGCGAATCAAATCTTGTTTATTTCGTAGAGCTGTTCGTCCCACTTCAATTCCCATATGTTTTCAATGGGACTAAGGTCTGGTGAAGCTGGTGGCTATGAAATTGTTGCCAAATGGTGTTCTTGCATTCAAGCTTGAGTATAGGCAGACGTATGGCATCTTGCATTATCCTGCTGAAAAGGCCACCCCTCTGGATATAAAACATGAGCCGTTTCAAGCAGAAAACCATTTAAAATATTACAATATTTTGCACTATTAACAGTTCCATCGACTATATACAGAGGTGTAGCACCACGCTGAGATATTGCTCCCCAAACCATTATTTTAGTCGGACATTTTGAAACTTGAACGGTATCATTTTCTTTTGATAGGATATTTAGGTGGTTTCCACCAAGCTGGAAACAACTTTCGTCACAAATAAAAACATTATTAAAATTATCTTCTTGAAAACGTTGACAAAAACCCATTCTTCGCTGCCTTTGTAGAGGTGTTATTGCAGGGATTTTTTTTGGCTTCCTTGTTATGTAGCCTTGTCTTTTCAGTGACATGCGGACGGTTTCTGGACATACCATTCATTTTCGCTGACTTCCAAATCATAACCTACTATCGGCACAACCTACGTGATGGATTACTGTTATCTTCAGTGGCGCAACTAGGAGGAGGGCTAGGGGGGGGCTTAGCCCACCCACGCCCAAAATTAGCCCTCCCTAGCGTACGTTTTGACATTTCAGGCGAGGTACACAAAGACATTTTTATTCCAAATAGAATATGCAATTTTTTTTCTAACGTCACGAGTAATTTTTTAAACAATTTTAAATGTTGCCATATAATATAAAAAAATTTAAAAGTAGTACCTCGTAGGTAATTATATATAGAGAAACTATGGTTACACTCGTTGAATTTGACACTTTATGTCAATTTAATAATATATATTCGTACTGCTAGGCATAAAGGTACTTTTATGCCTAGATCTTAAAATTACTTTTTTATATCACGTCGCAAAAATGAATAGGTACTATTGTAACGTTTCAAAAAAAAATACAAATATGTTCTTAGGTTAAGTTAGTGTATTCTACAAAGATTGTTAGTGTATTCTACCATAGCTAACATAATAAACTATGTTACATAAATTACTATGTTATCGGTGATTCTGCTAAAGACTAATGTCCTAGAATATAATAAAGACTAATAGGTAGAATATCAGTTTTAAGTTTTTGAGTTTGAAATTCCTAATCTAAAAATGTCCTTAGATTAAATGTTATAGTAACTCGAGATATAGAGTTTTAAAAAATCACCCACTTTGAACCGTGCCGACTCTAATGCAAAAAAATGCTTGCTGTGAGCAGCAATTAAAGCGAAAATAATATTTGCAATGAGAGATGATGCAGAATTTTATAACAATTTAAACTATAAACTATTTAAACTAAAAACTATAAAAATAAATAACAAACCAAGACATGATATTTTGCTACAGATGTTCGATATGTCGACCGTCTTCTGTTATGGACAGGCGGGACCGTTTTTGAACATTTCTCGCGGAATTCATTAACTCAGAGGGTGTGAAAGATACCCTCACATAACCTCTAAGTACTTATAATAATTCTTGTCTAGTTTATACGGGTAATTTGAAAATAAGAACCTTTATTCTTCCGCAAACAGAAAAATCCATAGGCGCTAAGTCCGGCAGCCTCGACGGCCAACGGCTGGAATCTTGGTTAGCTATTCTATCATTCTCGAAATTGGCTGCAAAAATTTGATAATAACTTCAGCGTTCTGAGGCGATGCCTCGTTTTGCTGAAAAATATGTTTTCGAGTTCCATTAGAGACAGATCATCAATAAGGGGCACAAAGCCTACAAGTTAAAAGTGGCGAACTTTTAAAAATTCTCTATTTCGAAGGGGAGTAGAACAAAATATTAAGTGTGCTATATTTTTGGAACGGTAATTTCAAATTCTTTTCAAAAATATACAGCGTGTCCCAAATAAAAAATAAATTTTTCTTTTGATAATTTTTAAATTATTAAATTTAAAAAAATTATACTTAAACCATTAAATTCTACGTAAAAAGGTACTTTGGAAATGTTTTCATAAAAATTCAAAATTTTTCATAGCAAAAAAGTTAGACCGATTTGTTGAAAATGCACATTTTTGAAAAACAACCCGTATCTCCGAAACGGTAACAGATATCGATGTGCGGTTTTCGCTATCATGTTTTTGATAAAAATTGAGCTCCAGAGATCGACATTAGTTGTCGTCTATCTCCTATAGAAAAGGGTGGTTTGGAAAAAATATGAACAAAAAATTACTGTTTCTTTAAAACTGGTATTATCATCAAACCAATATTACCTTAAAAATAAATACCTAGCCGTGCAAATACACTCGTTTCAGGGCTTGAGCCCCCCCAAAAGTCGGTGTCTAGTTGCGCCCCTGGTTGTCTTAGAGAGTTACAGAAAAAAATACATTAAAATTAGGAAAAATATAAAATTCCGGATACTTTCTAGACGGGCTATAGTTTGGATATGGCGTTTGAATGAATATCTGAATATCTGTTGGTAATTTACTTTTTTTTTGAGTCATTTCTGGCTCCAATTCAATCAGCAATCGACACGAAAGAGAATTAAAAAATATTGACTCAAAACTGACAACTAAAGAGACAGATTTATTTATTTGTCAAATTACATAGAAACCAACGCCAACCCAGCACAATATTTTTTTCCACTCGTAATAAATTCCTTGAAATAATAATTTCTGAATATTTTTTCAAACGTAACTGGCTATGGAAAAAAATATTGTTTTATACATGACGATAAAATTGCATTATCGTCCTCGTGAATTAATCTTTTCGGTCGGTGTATAAAAAATAACTGTTATTGATGATCTGTTTTCTTTTCAGGAAGCCTTAGATGTTTTACGCACGGCCTCCAACCAGGTGGAGCTCAGGGTATGTCGGCCCCCTCCCGATGTCCTAAACTGCGTGAGTCCCATTTCTGAGGTGCCCCCGCCTCCCCCCACACGCCGGGAACCACCGAATAGTCTGAATTTGGCGGGGAATTGTTATGGGACTACTCCCGAAGACGAGTACTACCACGGGGTGAGTCAAAATATTTAAAAATTAACTGTCGCGACTAACTTCGTACCTCCTAAGGATGGAAATATTCTTTGAACTTCGTTTAAACAGAAAAAAAAGTGGTAAATATATCTCTGTTTAGCTCTAAAATAAGTAAAAAAGTTCATATAAATGTATGTCCTAAAATGCTTAGTTTCGGAGATACAGGGTGTAGAAGTTTCATTTTTATTTCGATTTTTTCCAATTAATTTATGAAGTAACGTCAATATTTGGATAAAAATTGGTGACTGGGAGTTTTTTGGCATGAGAAATTAGATTTTGATGTCAATATCACTTCTACTTGTAGAGGGTGTCACCTAAATATTTTTAGCAGACCATACCAATAGGTATGGTCTGCTAAAAAAATATATAAGTCTTTTAAAAAAAAGTTTTTATAATTTCACTCAAAATGAGTTATTTGGGTCATAAATAACCTAAATACAAAATATTTTCATAGTGTCTGTCTGTCTGTCTGTCCGTCTGTCTGTCCGTCTGTCTGTCCGTCTGTCTGTCCGTCTGTCTGTCCGTCTGTCTGTCCGTCTGTCTGTCTGTCCGTCTGTCTGTCCGTCCGTCTGTCTGTCCGTCTGTCTGTCTGTCCGTCTGTCTGTCTGTCCGTCTGTCTGTCCGTCTGTCTGTCCGTCTGTCTGTCCGTCTGTCTGTCCGTCTGTAACACGATAACTCAAAAACCGCTGAACCAATTTTAACCAAATTTGGCACAAAAATACTGTGGCACCCGAGAATCTGGCCATTAGTTTTTGGTGGGGATGGGGGGTTGGTAAGGGGGTATGGGAGGGGGTTAAAAATTTTAAAAAATCGTTACTGCAAAATTACAGTAGCTAGCGAAACGCAGTTTTCAAATTAAGATTAGGAATAATATTTGCAACAAAATTTGTAATAACATCAAAATCAAAGTCGCAGTTTTTGAGATAAAAAAAATTGAAAAAAAATCCTTTACTTTGGAACTAAAAGAACTGCCTATTAACTTTTTATTAACATATTTTAGTATGGGCGGCTATACGTGCTTCCCGGCGCCATTTTTTTTGTAAAATAGTCCTTCTAGTATTTACTACAATTTTTATCTCTTGTAAAAACGCCATTTAGCCTACTTTTTGAGATTTTTTAGTATTTTTTAATATTCTTGTAAGGCGAATGCCCGCGATAATCCATTACGGAGTGCGTGTAAGTCCCCCGCATCGCACACAAGGGTAGAAATAGCTCTGACCCAAATACATGCGAATGTAGATGCCTAGCGGTCTTTATCAAGCGTGTATAAAGGGAATTGAGCTGTCAAGAAAAAGAAAAAATGGAAAATCGATAAGAAAAAGATCGACGGAGTGATGAATTCTACTCGACATTCGGCGATTCTTAAATTATATTTGTATATACAGGGTGTACGATTTTTACTGTCTAGTCTATACCACATAGTCTATGGTTCAAAGAATAAAGTGGAGTTATTTACACCATCTATACATATATCTCTGATTTGTTGAAACAGCAGAGTAACTAAGTAAGTCACAAAAATTATACAGAAAATTAAGTTTTATGTAAATTAGGTATGGAACTCCGACATTTTCTGCAATTGACAGCTCACGTCACTCACGCTTACAGCTAAGTTGTAATCATTAAAGTCCACTACAAATCAGTGCCATACTAAACAACATACAGGGTGGTCCGAACTATATTCCGGAAACTTCGGCAGCATATTCTCTCTTAGTTTCGGAGATACAGGGTGCAGACGTTTCATTTTTATTTCGATTTTTTCCAAGTAATTTCTGAAGTATCGTCAGTATTTGGATGAAAAATGGAGACTGGGAGTTTTTTGACATGATAAATTCGATTTTGATGTCAATATGACTCCTTCTTGTAGAGTGCGCCACCTACATATTTTTTAACTGGTTTAAAGAGTAATAACTTTTTATCCGTACCTGTATAAAACTACTGAGTAAAAAAAATAAACATTTACGACGTTTTTTACGTAAAACAGGTCTCCTAGTAAAAATCGCTAATAATTTTTTCGAAGAAAAATTTGTGATTAATTTAAAAAAACAAAAAGTTCCCAAATTTATCATTTCAGTCAAATAACTATCTACTCGACAAGTTTATTTTTTGTCAATAATGTAAAGTATTGACTATTTTCATTCTAAATATCTTGAGAACGGTTGCTCGTAGCAATTTTTAACAAGAGACATTTTTACGAAGAAAATCACGGAAATGTATATTTTTTCACTCAGTAATTTTATAAAGGTACAGAAGAAAAGTTATTACTCTTTAAAACAGTCAAAACATATATGTAGGAAGCGCCCCCTACAAATAGAGGAGCTATATTGACATCAAAATCAAATTTGTCATGTCAGATAACTCCCAGACACCAATTTTCTCCCAATTTTTATCCAAATATTGACGTTACTTCAGAGATTATTTGGAAAATATCGAAATAAAATTAAAACTTCTACACTTTGTATCTCCAAAACTAAACATTTTAGTATATACATTTATACGAACTTTTTTACTTATTTTTATCTGGCAGAATATGCTTCGAAGTTTCGGGAATACAGTTCGGACCACCCTGTATATTCAAATTCAAGACATGTATATTCAAATCTAGAAAGGATATTGAAATATACAGAAAATACTTCAATCGGAATGTAAACAAAAATACAGAGAACAAATATCAACTGTCAAATCGATAGGTTTCAATTATTCCATGCAGTCAGTCATCCATATCACAAGATTGGCAAAATACTCTAATTTCACATCACTTTACTATTGGGCAGTCCGGATCAGCTAGTAATTTATAAATATCTATTAATCTTTTCCTGTTATCCCTCACTATAGATTTATTAGATACAATTCTCACCCCTACTTATTGCTATCCATTTTTTTCCAGGAATTCGAGATAACACTTACGAAAATCCAAGGTTCGTTGGGATTCACCCTTAGAAAGGAGGATGACAGTGCCCTAGGTCACTACGTCAGAGCCTTAGTCAGAGAGCCAGCCCTAACTGATGGCAGAATCAAAGCAGGAGACAAGATCATCGCAGTAAGAACATTATAGTTATTGTTATTAATGATACAAGTTCGATACGAACATCATAATGAAACACGTGTAACGTTAAGTTAGTTAGTTACACAAGTTTCATTAAAAAGTTCGTATCGAATGTGTATCATTCAAAATTTAATCTACGACGCGACACGAGGGACGATCCAAAGAGATTTGATTTAATTTAAAATATCAGAGATATCCTCATAAAAATTAAAATTCAAAATTATCAGGTGCTATATAGAAAATTCCAAAGAAAATAAGAAAAAAAGTGTCATGTAATATTTTGGGTAACATTTCTGGCAATTATGGATCTTCAACAAGTTCAAGCGCTCAGGAAATAAATTTACTTTCTAAAAATTCAACTCACCTGTCATCGTCTGGAATTAATTTAACCAATTGTACTGATATAATTAATGTTTACAATAAATAATCGTATTTAGGTACCTTTTTTTGCTTGTTTCTTATTTTAAAATTTGCGTGATATTCTGGAATTCATAATAGCTCTATTATGAAAGCCATAATGACATCCAAATGACAATGTTACATGTGTCATAATGACATTGTCGTAGATTAATATTATTATACCAGTATTTCTTCTTTTATCATATTATCAATAAGGGAACACTACTTATATCCATTGTTGATGGCGCATGGCGATTTGTTTAATAATATTAATCTCTTTTTGAAAATTCTCTGACCTCAGTGGAAACATTAATATACAGGGTGGTCCGAATTGTATTCGGGAAACTTCGGCACCATATTCTGCAGATAAAAATAAGTAAAAATTTCGTATAAATTTATGTCCTAAAGTGCTTCGTTTCGGAGATACAGGGGATGTGTCTGGGTGTTTTTTGATTAGGGAAATTTGATTTAGAGGTCAGTATGACTCCTACTTGTAGGGGGCGCCACCTACATATATTACTAACACTATTTCAACGATGTTTCGCAAAGAACCAGCCACATACTCAGTACTATTAATATTATTTTTTTTAATATTAACATTACATTATTTTCTTTATTCTTCAGGTAAATGAGGTAGAGATATCACCAATGAGCCACGAACAAGCCGTACAGTATCTGCGTCAGTGTGGAGATAAAGTTAAATTAAAGCTATACAGGGACTCAGCGCAAACTCCAGTAGCTACATTGAGCCCCACAGAGACCACTCCTAGGGCTTCGTTTTCAAGAAAGGCTAACTTGAGGTCAGTACTTTAATTGCTACAATTTTATAATACATAACAATAAACTAATACAATAATACAGTTTTAAAATTAACCAAATAATATCTTAATTTTTTAATTAATTATTTATCTCGATCTTCTATCAAAAGAGAACATAATTTGCTATTGTTAACTTAATAAATACATATACATACAGGGTAACTATAAAAATGTAATAAAAAAATTACTTGAAAATATATATAAAAGTATAGTTTTTTTTAACGGAAATCGCAAGATATTTTATTTTTTCAGATCATTTGCCATCAAAAATAAAACCTAAGCATTTTATGTCACTTTTTGTTCACAAAATCATGTTTTTTTCGATATTTAATGGTGAAAACATGATTTTTCATTAAATTTTAAACTCAAAAGTTTCAAAGGTCCTTTATACGGTCTTCTATTAATTTGGAAACGAACAATGTACACCAGGAATAGATCTGCTCTGTATCTTTGTCTGATTGAGGACGTGTGAATATGCCATTCGTTCGAAAGAACATAAATTTCGACCTGATAATTGAAATTTGCAAAGCAGTATTATCCTGCACCGTCGGATTATATTGCTGCAATGATAGGGATGTCCTGGAACTATCGATATATCGAAATTGCGATAGAGTTTTTTTTTCATAATTATTGATATACTAGCGTGTACCCGCGACTTCGTTCGCGTCGAATTAATCATTTGTAATGGTGATGATAAAGCAAAGCAAGAATTTCCATTAACATACAAACTGGATAACATTTTCTCACATTTATGTCAGCATGAGAAAAAACAATATGGCGATATTATTATATAACTTGGTAATATTTGAGGGGTAGTTTTTTACGTCAAGCAGTTTAAGCAGAATCGTGGTTAATCAACTACCCAACTTTTTGGAACACCCTGTACGATTTTTTAAAAAATTTCAAAATATGTAAAAAAACGATATAAATTATGCGTTTTCCAGAAAGACTAACCGTTTTTTAAATAAGAAATATTGTAATATTTAAGGGGCGTTTTCGCCCTCTTGGAATTTGAGATTCGAGAAACCCCTCCTTATCGAACCTCTACACCCCACAGTCAATCCGTTTGCCAAAAATCAGCTTTAAACGTCAAGCAGTTTAAGCAGAATCGTGATTACTCAATGGTCATATTTTATGAAACACCTTGTATATTTTTAAAAAAAGTCTTAAAATATGTAAAACAACAAAATAAAATATACGTGTTTAAGAGTTTTTTCGAAAAACTCACCGGTTTTAAATTAAAAAAATATTCTAATATTTGAGGGGTGGTTTCACCCCTTAGGTCGAGTTTTGAAAAATCCCTTCTTATCGAACCTCTACACCCTGAGAGTCAATCCGTTTTCCAAAAATCAGCTTTTACGTCAAGCGCTTTAAGCATGATCGTGATTAATCAATGACCAGATTTTTCGAAACTGTACGAAATATTATGTTATGTTCTAACATACCAATTTTCGTTTTTTTATCTGAAAAAATAAAAAGTTATATACACTTTTGAAAAACGCCCAGTATATCGATGTTTCACCTGAAAACAGCACATCCCTAGTAATAAATTTCAGTGCGGATTCTGGTGTGCAATATGGCGTTGCTATATAGCTACCTCTTTTGTAAATTAGTGATGTGTGTAGCTGGCCCGCATTTCAGAGCATCTCGTTGCCCGAGAATTTTTGACGGTTTTTCATTTTCCACTCCCCTTTTGTAGCGTGTTTTTTTATTTTCGCTGTCGCTGGGTTATTTCTTTTATTGTTCTTATAAATATACATTACATGTTTCCGGGAACAATAGGAGAATAGCAAACAATTTAACAGACGTGTATACAAGGTGTCTCATATAAAAATGCACGCTACAGGAATCTCGTACACCAGAAGAGAAACAAGTTAAATAATGCATTTGTTACCTTATTTTTGAAAAACACCAATTAAAATTTTAATCACGTGGTTAAGCTTGACCGGCACAGTGTTGCCCCTCTTTTACATATGCCACTGGACTCTACGTGAAAAACTCTATGGGACAAAGTTTTCACCCTTTCTATAAGTTATAAGATAACCGAGATACGAAGAGGGTCGAAAAATGCAAAATTTTCAAGTTCGCTCTGTATTTCAGGAACCAAGGGGGGTAGGACAAATCCATTTATAGTATCTTTATAGTTTCATAAAATTGTAGCACAGTGATCTTTGTATTTCTACACATAAACGAGAAACCCATAAAAAAAACGAAAATAAGACACCCTGTACACGTTTCTATCAGTATTTGAAGTCATCTTAGCTATTCAGGCCTGTATGGAACACTCAAAAAATAAACGTGGACATATATGTATATAAAATATCGTTACTTACATTAAGTTTCAGCAAAACTGTTATAGCTTGACACAAAAGTTCTATTAACACTCGTGTAAAACACTTTTTAAAACAACACACAGTACAAAACAGCACTATTTGAACAAATAATTGCACAAAATAATACAAACACGACATAATTTAGTATATTTTTTACTTCAGAACGTCTTTTTTTCTGTTGATCTTGACAGCCCAGCGCGCACGGCCAACTTTTCGAAATTTTACCCAAGCGCGCGCCGTGTCTAGTAAACGGAAAAGCTAAAGGCGAATCTAGACTAATTTTTCTCAGCAATTTAAAGCTTGAATCAGACGTTAATGAAATGATTTACTGAAGCATTTTTTTTAATTTTTATGCTATTTAATATTTTTAAAGGAATCCTACAAATTTTATATAGGAATATTGTTAAAAATAGTTTTGTGTATCTTTTTATAAACAGTAATATTAAATATATACAGTTTGTGTATAAGTTAAATAGAATAAAATTAATAATAAATAAACGGAGGTGTTTTCAAAAAAAAACCGCGGACACGTCGATTAGTGTTTTTAATTGCGCATTTTTTTCAGTAAAAACTTTTTATACAGGGTGTGTTGTGTAATAGTTACCAATACCAACTTTTTTATTTTAAATATAATACCCTATATATTATTCGATTTTTGGATTCCTCGGGAAATTCTAGACATATTTTATATATAATGTCCTATACCTATCTTTAACTGTTTCAGAAATATTAAGTGATTTTATCAAATAGACGTCTTACCGCAGGACAGAAAATCTACAGATTATTGGTTATAGATGATGACAAATGACTGATAGAAATGGAAGTTGCTCAATACTATATCATAAAAAAATACAAATTTGCCACATACAGGGTGTTTCAGAAAACATGTGCCATCTCTCGTGGGGAGATTCCTCACGTAAAAATAAGATTTATTTTTCATATCAACATAGGTCCGATTCTGCTTTGTTTTCTAGCTACAGGGTGTTAAAGTCGTAATATTTTTTCGATTTATTATAATTTTCCTCCAAGTACTTTTATAGTTTTAGAGATACAGGATGTTAAAACTTCTTAAAATTAGTTTTTTTTTGTAATTATCTTAAATACCATAATTTTTTATTTGAAATTGTTGTAGGTTGGACTAATAGTAATAATAACTAATAGCAATAATATCTAATAATAATTTAGGTAAAATATATGTATAATTTATTAATTTAATTTTTATTTTAATTTTATTAATCGTGACTAAAAAACAGTTTTGCAAGCTTGGGCATGTAAGGCAGATAAAAAAGCAGCTACAAATGTAACAAATATTGATAATAAAGTGTGTATACACTGAAAAAAGGATCTCTCAGTTGAAATGAATATGACTTTGACCCAAAAGATTGGCGCTTTTCAATAGGGCCAAGAACGACGTGTCTTTGCCCAAAGCATTAACTATCTTTTCATAAGCTTTAAAACATTACTTTAGAGAATAGAAGAATCTATCTGTCCAAAGTATTTCACTCTTGACCCAAAATTAATATGCAAAGAAGTTCTTGCTACAGGAACAATAGTCTCTTTGATTCATGCATAAATTCTTGATTGAAAAGGGACATTTCTTGATTAAAGAGACACCTTTCTTAAACCAATAGCGAATACATTGACTCAACTAAAATTTATTTTGATCTAAGAGAAGTCTATACATATTTTTGTTATTATCTTAAAACAAAGTAACTTGCACTTGGTTAAATGAAAATAGATTCAAGAGAAATTTTCGAATTTTTCAAGAGAACAAGTTTTCTTGAGATAAGAGAGTTTTTCTTCAGGCAAAATATTTTCTTTTGCGCTAAAATAAATTCTCCTGCCACTAATTTTTTTTTTCAAGAACGATGACGACTTTAGTTCAAATCTATCTTTTTTATCAGTGTATTATAATCTTCTATAAGCTATTTTAAAGAATTCCTCCCATATTACCATTTGATGATCAAATAATAAAAATCTTCACTTAAAATGGAACAATAATTCTACTAGATTTATTTTTTGTTACAGGCAAGAAGCTGTGGACATGCTGAACGATATCGCAGTACGAAAACTCCTACCCAGCAACCTCCAAGAACCTCCAGGTCACAGGTCCTCCTCACCCAGAAGACTAAGGCGTCACAACTGTCCCAGTGACGCGTCCCAGGACTCCTCCTCTTCCGGCATCAAGTACCTCATTCCAGAGGAACAGTTCCACGAAGGTTTGCTCAAGTGCGCCGCTCATTTCGAAGAGGACGCCTACAATTCGTTGTTTAGTATCGATAGTGAGGATATGGACAGGCCTTCAAGGTATAGATTGGTTTGGTTTTGAAGGATATCGAAGAATTTTAGCTGTAGTTCTTGTTGTAGGCCCAGTTCTTTGGATCTGTACAACCCAAATCAGACTCCGGTAGCTACTAGGAAGCCGAGGTTCAATTTTTCGCTGGCTCATAACGCGTATGAATTGAATAATTTGGATCCGGAAGTTTTGGATGCTCCAAATTTAGCCTATAACCTTGGTAAGTTAAGTCTAGTTGAAGCGTTTTATAATTATGTTTAAAGTATTTTGTAAATGTCTTGATGTGAATTGTAATAAATATTTTTTTGCAGGTGTCGATGATGGAAGTCATATAGAGTTAGAAAATAAAGCCAGTTTTCCCTCTGAACCTGCCAGCATGCCTCACATTCCACTCGAAGGAACCTCAAGTACCTTCAGGTAATATACCATTTGTACTAAACACTCTACCTATATACAGGGTGGCGCCTCCCATAGGTCACAGAAGCTCCAAGGAGAACGGTAGTTTATATCGAAATTAAATTTTGGCAGCATATGTAGGTTAACTGAAAGCATTTTATAAAAATATATAGAATTATATAGAGTTTCCCCAAAAAAAGTTACACATCAAATTCGTGTTTTTTCTAATCGAACACGCTATATATTAATTGATTTTCGGATTCTAGGAAAAAAATAAAGATGAGTTTTATTAAAGAGGCATATACCTAAAATCTAAGAATTTTGATTTATTTCACATTTTGTGAAAATGAGGAGTAAATTTTAAATTTCGATAACATCTAAATTTTAATTGACCTTGTATTGTCTGATATTTAATTACAGTAACCATTGTATGCTAAACCAAATTGAAATTTGACCCGAAAAGTTATACAGTTTTAAGACACTTTTAAAAGCAAGTTACTCCTTTATTTTAAATGGAACACCCAGTATATTTTTCTGGTGTTCAATGGGGAATTTATATATCTTCAAAATATTATTAAGGTTTTCTGTTCCTCAGAATTTTTTTTGTTTTAACTGACACAAAATGATTAGTGGTTAAAGCTGGACTAATTAGACAACTATGTTGAAGTAACGTCAGACATATTTGAAGGAGTAGTATTTATGTCGTTTCAAAATTCGAAACGCTGTAGTGTGATCTATTCCTATTTCATCCTCAAGTTTCCTTGTGCTGATCTTTCCATCGTTCTCTTCCACGCACAATAAAACTTCCAAGTCGGTATCATTTCTTGCATCTTGTCTTTGTTCCTGTCTTGCTTCACATCTGCAGTTAATTATTAGGGTACCTTTGTTCTCAAATCTCTGGATATTCCTTGCGATTGTAGATTTTCCAGGTATCGGTCTATTCGGATACAGAGCAGCAAACATGTCCGACATCTTTTAATAACTATTTCCTTGATAATACCATTTAATCATCAATACTTTTTCTTCGGTAGTGTAATTCGTGACTAATATTTTCGATGTAGGTATGAGTTTTTAATAATAATAATAAAGCACTAAATAGACAAATTTCTGAAATGACAACTTCATATGACAGTTATCTTTTACCTTGACTGGTGCTCATAAGTAAATACAGGGCCATAAGAAAGGAGAAATATTTAAAAAGAAATCGGTGATAACTCGTAAACGAGCTAATCAAAAATATCTAAAGTTATTCTTTTGAATGTGGGTTTTAGTGCTCTTCAATAAACCTAAATAGAATTATTCTGTAAAAATAATTAGGGAAGCCAATAATTGACCCCATTAAAATTTACATGGGATTTCCTATGTCCCGTCCGACGATGCAACACCCGCTATAATACAAGCATTGATGCGTTGTTTATATTCTTGTAGATATTTCTACATAAATTTGTCCTGTTTACAGTTACAAAAACCCTGCCTACCAATCTGCGCATCCTCCATGCGTCGAGACTGATGCGCGGAGCAGCAGTAGCACTTCCAAAAGCAGCCAAAACACGCATAAGGATGAAGAAACGGATACCATCAAGAGGAAGAAAGGAATTTTGAAGAAAGATACTGAAAGACGGCCTGAAATGAAGGTGGATGGTGACAAAATGACACCAATGAAGGAAGATTACGAGGTAGGACGTTTAGAACAATAATTATTTCTTTGTCAATTCAAATTTCTACAACTACAATCAAAGAGTAAACCCCATATAACTTTTAAGGGTATCGTTTTTTTGGCTCATTTATTAATTTAAAAAAAAACATTTAATGGAACTTTTTAAAGTATTTGATTAGATCAGGCTACCAATCAACTTTTGTTGGTAGCTATTTTCGACAAAATATAATTTTCATCATGGTTGTGATGACTTTCTCTTTAATTGAATATTTCATGACACGAAAAAAAATGTTTTAGACTTCAATACTTCAAAAATGTATCAATGACAATATCATAAAGTTGAATAAATTATTGACGGCCGGAGTATTTTACAATAACTGTACAAGTTACTTTTTGTACGTAAGCACCTAATTTTGCAAATAATTTAAAAAAATATATTTTTACGCAGATTCTTGCCATTGAACTGAATAGGGGTTGGAACAGCAGGCTTGGCTTTAGTTTGCAAGGCGCTGCGGGAGTGACGTATGTCAGCGCTGTCCACGCTGACTCTGTGGCTGCCAAAGATGGACGCATCAGGCCTGGTGATAGGATAATAAAGGTAAATTTCTTTGGCATTTCTTTGTCATGTTGAAAATTTAAATGATATGAGTTTATTACATATTTGCAAATTCTACATCATTTTCAACGTAAAACATTACTCCCACTATGTTTCAATAAAAATATAGTGTTCAACATGAAAAGGAATATGTACTTACATAATCCTGGCTTAGGGTACGTCCATAGTGCACCGGCTTCCCGCTTCTCGCTTTATCACGGCAGACTAGCGGTGCAAAATAGAGGAACAAATGTACAGTGTGTCCACCGACAAGATCCTTGACAGTGATACATGTGTCTGTCATTTTAATTTCAAAGTAGTTTATTTTATTTTACAAAGAAACAAGTTGGTACAACTGAAACGCATAGCAGGAAATTAATATATTTAAAATTTGACTGATAAGTGATTACTTCAAAATATTGTGAAAAGAAACTGTATAAAACTGAAAAAATGTAATAGAGTTATTTTATTTAAAAAAACGGTATGTGTTAATACAAAACAAACAAGAACAAAACACCACATACCAAAAAGATATAAAAAAGAATTATTTCTTACTTTCAAGTTTCAAGAAACTTACCGCATTTATTATTATATTTATCAGTATAACTTTATGTACAAATACAAATTTGTAATATTCTACAGGAATAAATAAAACAACATAAATAAAACAAACTATTTTATTAATAATGACACTTACCAAATTTTATACCTTAAAAGTTGATTAATTAACTTTAATTTTAATTTTTTTAAACCAGTACCTTTTGACATTTTTTTCCGCAATACTAAAATCCATTATTTACCTATCGTGTGATGTCGATATTTTAGAGCTACTCCAGTTTTTAGTATATATGTTTAGTACGATCCTTGTACCATATACGAGATGCACTTATTTAAAACTATAAACTGTGCTCTGGGTCTACAGATAATTTTCCCTCGATTTTTCCTCCACTTGACTTCAAAAGACACAAAACACACGTAATAACACGAATCAAAATGCAGGGTATTTGACATAAATTGGCACAAAATTATAACCTAAGTATAATTTGGCAAGCCTCAAAAATCTAAAGGCGAGTTCATACGCATCGGCGTCCGTCTTACGTTCATCGTTCCGTCAAACCAATCAAATTGAAATATGATCTGTCCTTTTTGAAATAAACCAATAAAACTGGTTAAAAACAGCAAGAGACGACGTATGGCAGATTTATATTTAAATCCATCCATAGTTAACTTAAAAAATATTAGAAACTTTTTTTAGTAAAATAAATAGATTGGTATGGGACGTCATCTGCTTTTTTTCTGTCATCGTCTGTCGAAATCTTACCTGAGAAAAAAAAACAGAGTATACCTGCTTCAATGGCGCAGGTTCACAAAGCGATAAGAGAGGCGCGACCGACACGACCGGTCGGAAAGTCGATTGTAGCCGCGCACTGGAGTCGCACGATCGACGGTCGAGAGTACGTCACCAGCATAAATTTGAGCATAGACGAGGAGGAGTTTATTCCAATTTAGTCAAATTCATTCGGCATTTCAAAAAATTATAAAGTATTATTACTATTTATATTTTTATGTAACTTTTTATATTTTATGCTTTATGATGAAATTAATATTATTTAGATATAACCAAACACACATTAATAAATTTAGATCTTAACAAACCACATAAAATTAGTGAAATAGAGTGGAAGATGGGGATAAAATATACTACATGACTCTTAGCTTAACCGATTTTAACAAATTTGGTATAACTCAAAAGGGTTTAATTTGTTCTTTAAAAACAAAGCTAGATATGAAAAATAGTCAAATAAAACTTTTATTTCTAGTTTTTTAATCTAAATAAGTGTCATTACAAACATTTATATATCGCTTTTATTTTAAGTTTTTAAAATCTTTGTTTTAAGTCAGTAGTAAATAAAACGAAACTTGTGTTTACATTTTGTTTAATGATTGACGTTTCGACCAATTTTAATTCGGCCTTCTTCAGAATCTATAATATACGTATAAATAATTTTCTACGTTTGTGGTAAGAAAAAATTATATATTAAACACATTGTTAGTGATAAAATTGTATTGTATATTATAGATTCTAAAGAAGACCGAACTAAAATTAGTCGAAACGTCAATCATTAAACAAAATGTAAACACAAGTTTCGTTTTATTCACTACTGACTTAAAACCAAGATTTTGAAAACTTAAAATATAATAAAAAAGTCAAAGAAAATTGAAAAAGAAAAAATATAAATAGTTTTTATAGTACCGTATTATCGAAAAGGAACGGCATCAGCGATGACCATGAAATGAAGGTCGGTGCCATTTTATATGTAAATTTATATAGGAAATGTCATCAATCGTCATTTCCCATCCAACTGGACGCCGATTTTTTCTATCATACGGTAGATATATGTACAAATATTTTATTCAAACATAAATATTATTTTCTCTATTTGTACCTTTTACGGAGCGATCATCATAGTAACATAGGATGATTATTTATCAGCTGTTATTACTAACGTCAAAACAAACCAAAAATTAAATAATATGATAGGTTTTTTGACGATATTTAAATTCGATTTTCAAAATAATGTGAGATAATCAAAACGAGATGAGAAATAAATGGGTTTAATCGGAAGGTTTTCTAATTCAGTTATTGAATAAGTGTAGTAAACAATATAGGTTACGTGCTTGTAAGAAATTTTTATAAAAAACCGCATATTAAGTATGATATGGTCTCGTACACTTTCGATTAATAATTCATCGGACATGTTTAATGTAAAACCGCTCCACTAAAAAGAGTCGCTCGGCGTAGACTATTTGTCCCCCTCCCATGCATTCTCTGATTTCGCCTGATGGCGCCGATAGCTCGAATGGCGCCGATAGCTCGAAGCGCACCGATCTAGTGCGGTGCGCGGGCTTACATTTATTTCAACGTAAACTGAAAATTACGTGCCGCTCGCTCGCGCCGATACCCATTTAGTGCGTGCCCTCCTTAAGCCGGCTACCGGAAAACGGAAAGCCGGTGCACCATGGACGTACCTTCAGAATTTCTGCACACATTCATGCTCATTCTCCGCACCTCTACATCTTTGGCTTAATATCTAATTTTTTCCTTGTATTTTCAGGTGAACGATGAGAGCGTGGATCACATGAACACTAACGAGATCATCGACTTGCTGCGCATTGTGCGCGGTCCAGTCTGTATAGTTGTAAAAAGAATTAAATCTAATCAAGACTGTTCTAAAAGCAATGCAGAGAATTGACAAAGTACTTCGTAGTTTGTAGCACGATGAGATATATTTAAATAGCTAAAGCTTAGTTTTCCAAAGTCGGACGCTCTATGCTGAGAGAGATAAACATACAGGGTGGCTCATTAGAGAGAGGAAGTCCAATATCGTCGTTGCTGTCGAAGAAATGAAAAAATGTTTATATAAATAATGTTGCATGGCTATACAGGGTGGTCCGAACTATATTCCGTAAACTTCGGTAGCATATTCTGCAGATAAAAATAAGTAATAAAGTTCGTATAAATGTATGTCCTAAAATGCTTAGTTTCGGAGATACAGGGTGTAGAAGTTTCATTTTTACTTCAATTTTTTCCAAATAATTTCTGAAGTAACGTCAATATTTGGATGAAAATTGGTGTCTGGAAGTTTTTTGACATGAGAAACTTGATTTTGATGTCAATATATCTACTATTTGTAAAGGGCACCACCTACATGTGTTTTAACTCTTTTGAAGAGTAATAACTTTTCTTCTGTACCTGTATAAAACTACTGAATGAAAAAATATACATTCTTGTGACTTTTTACGTGAAAAATGTCTCTTGGTAAAAATCGCTACGAGCAACCGTTCTCAAGATATTTAGAATGGAAATACATGTCATTATTGAAACCTGTTAAAAAATATGTAGGTGGCGCCCTCTACAAGTAGGAGTCATATTGACATCAGAATCAAATTTCTCATGTGAAAAAACTCCCAGACACCAATTTTCATCCAAATATTTACGTTCCTTCATAAATTATTTGGAAAAAATCGAAATAAAAATGAAACTTCTACACCCTGTATCTCCGAAACTAAGCATTTTAGGACATACATTTATAAGAAATGTTTTAATTATTTTTATCTGCAGAATATGCTGCCGAAGTTTCCGGAATACAATTCGGACCACCTTGTATACAGGATGTCCCATGAAAAGTAATAATAAAGTTAGAAGTTTTTTTTTAAATTGCTACCCCTGTTTTTCTGTACATAATTGAGTACAACATAAAATTCTGCATTCTGCATATAGTATAGTATTTTTATTTGAAGCACTATGCAATGTTGCCATTCTATTTCTTATTTACTGAAACTTTGGTTAAAAACACTGTATGCGAATAAATTTAACTTTACTAAAACTTAGCTATATTTTCCTAAACACCAAAGATAACAGAAAAAAATCTGCGAAGGAAAATTTACATAATCTTATACAGGTTTTTTTATAGCGTCGCCAACATAGCAATATTTAAAATGCTATATCGTATTTTTTTTAATGCAACACCCTGTATAATTTTTTTCTATTAAATGCATAATTAAGAAATGAACATTTTTTGTGTTTAAAGTGTTCCTATAAGTTATAAACTGATTGGAACTTGTTTATTTAACAAAAGTTTTAGTAAATAAGAAATAAAATGGCAACTCAGCATAGTGCTTCAAATAAAAATACTATATGCAGAATTTTATTCTGATTTCGATTATGTAAAGAAAAATGGATGTTGCTATTTAAAAGAAATTAAAACTTTATCACTTTTTTTGGTACACCCTGTATACAACTAAATATTTTTAGGATATAGACCTTTATAAACCATGCCACATTTATATAAAACTTTTTTTATACCTTGGATAACAACGACGATATATTGGACTTCCTGGCACTAATTGACCACTCTGTATATACAGTAAAATTTAAATAAAAAATCAATAACAGTACAGAAATTTTACAGCAAAAATGTACTTTAAACATTTTTTTATCATTCTGGGTGGACATTTCACCTGTTTCAAAAGTGTTTTTTGGTGATGTATTATTGAAGCATTTTTAATATCAACATAAAAAATGTTTTTCAATTATTTTTTTAGGTATTTCTTTCAGCATTTTGCGTGAAAAAAACTATTAGACTCTACCAAAAAAAATCTTCTTTTGTACAAATTTCATTTTCAGTATAAACTCACTGATCCAGAGTGTTTACTGTATCCAAATCTGTCCTATTTTCTTCCAAAAGTATATTCCAATATCAACACAATACTAGAATTTGAAAAAAAGGACTTTCAAAATATGTTGGCGTTTGCAAAAATATAGGTATAAAAAATTATCCCGAAAAATAACTTTATCTTTTGAGTGATCGTCTAGAAAATTAAAAGCAAAAAACATAATTAAAATATTATCTATGTATATAATATTCGGCCCTATATTTTTGATGGAAAATCATACGGTTTTCCATTTCCAATATCATGGTTTCCCTTCAGAAAACATAATAACTATTCAGTTCTATGAAAAAAAAATTGTCAATGTAATATAATATTGTTTTAGTATTATTTTTTGGTCATCCTGAATTGGCAGAAAAACTTTTTGTTTCACCCTGTAGTTAAAATTCAGCATGACCGAAAAAAAAGTTGATTAGAAATTTAAAAAAAGAATACTTAATCAAAACCTAAGATCTAAATTAGTATATGTTTAGTAGTATTACATAAAAACAACATATGATTAAATAAAATTAAATTCGAGTGGGTTATAAAAAAATTCTGAACTGACTTCAATTTAATTTTGGGTAATGGTAAATACGTTTAAGGCCATTTTGGAAGAAAACCTATTAGAAAATGGCTGATAATATACATACTAAAGTAAAATAACATTCTAAATTTTTGCCTGAATAGATGATATTGAACTGTGTATGTTTATTTTATAAAAAAAATTCTAATCGAAATAACGTGAGATATAAATATAATCAAACGCTCTAGCAATATAAAAATAATATATTTATCTGAATGTATCTTTAGAAATGAAAGGAAGAAAAAAAATTTCCACTAATTTTTTTTTGTTTGTTTTTATTATTATTCTTGTCTTCTTTATATTTTTTAATTTTTTTGTGTAATATTGTTTTTGTGATCGTCTTATTTCTAAGTTCTAAGTTTACAAGTAAGTTTTTAAATTGTACATTTTACAAAAACATTTTCGATTTTTTCGGAAAATGTATACTAAGGTTATTATTAGTTATTATTATTAATTTTTAAGAGAGTTATTTTTTGTAACAGATTTTATTTTTGTGTTTCCTACCAAAGAAAAGCGAATGAAAAAGAAATAAAGTTTACCTTAAAATGAAATAATTGTTGTTTTATTATTACAGCCCTTTCTGTTTCTTTATACAGGGTGTTAAAATATTCCTTGGACATAGAACTACATACTAAGTATTTTTACAATTTGTCTCTGTACAAAAGTGCTTCGTTTGTTAGTTAAAGGGACCAAACTAATAAAAAAAATAAACACAGATATTTAAAAACCGTTTTTTAGGTGTCTATGTTTTGCTAAGTGCTTTAACATTTGATTTTCACCAAAATCAAGAAAAAGTACTGAAAAGTTGAAAACTACCCCCATCCCTAGCCGACCGATTTTTTTTCGTAAAATGGTTCTTCTAGTATTTACTACATTTTTTGTCTCTTGTATTTTGCCATTCGCCCATACTAAAATATGTTATTAAAAAGTCGGTACGCAGTTCGTTTAGTTTCAAAGTAAACGAATTTTTGCAATTTTTTTTATCTCAAAAACTGCGACTTTGATTTTGATGTTATTACAAATTTTGTTGCAAATATTATTCCTAATCTTAAATTGAGAACCGCGTTTCGCTAGCTACTGTAATTTTGGAGTTACAATTTTTTAAAATGTTTAACCCCATCCCATACCCCCTTACCAACCCCCCACCCCCACCAAAAACTAATGGCCAGATTCTCTGGTGCCACAGTATTTTTGTGCCAAATTTGGTTAAAATCGGTTTAGCGGTTTTTGAGTTATCATGTTACAGACGGACAGACAGACAGACACTACGAAAATATTTTGTATTTAGGTCATTTATGTGTAGGGTAACCTGGAAATATTATCATGGATTTTGAGTGAAAAAAGTAATTTTTTTTCACCACTAGTGTCTCATAAACGAAGAAATCAACAGAACTATACTCACTCTTTCAAAAACTAAAAAAATACAGTATAGGAAACGAATTTTCGTTTATTTTAAATGAAAAAAAAGTTTTTTTCTGATATAATGTCTCATTTTTTAAGAAAAAAAATCTACAAAACCACTAATTCTTCAATTCAAAGCTAAAAAATGCGCTATAGGTAAACTGGGAGTATTTTTTTATGGATTTTGCGTGAGAAAAGTCGATTTTTCTGATAGTTTCACCAGTAGTGTCTCATAAACGAAAAAATCAACTAAACTATACCCATTCTTTCAAAAACTACAAAAATACAGTATAGGTAACCTTGCAGTATTTTCGTTTATTTTAAATGAAACAAAAGTTTTATTTACAACCACGAAGACAATCACATTTTATGTAATACTGACATTACTGAATTTGAAAAAATTTGAAAGTGTCAAATTATCTACATTTCTTTCCTCTTCAATTTCCCTCACCCATTTCCCTCACTGGGTACAGCATGATACATGATGATGTACGTAGCCCAAAGAGTAGATGTACTTTTTCTGCCTTTGCCATGGTGCTAAAATATGCCATCATGACTGTCTCCAAAGCAAAATTCTTAGCATCTCTTTCGGCACACCGTTTTTCGTATACGTTCAATGCTATTTCATATCGCCCCCGACTTTTCTCTGGAAGTAAACTGGCTTCTGCTCTTTTTGCAGCTTCTGTAAGTTCTGGTGGAGTACCAATACTAAAGTAGTCTTCATTATCAGAACTTTCCGACAACATTCTGGCTTTCTACGTTATATAAATTTGCGAACGAGAAATTCGAAACTGTCACTTAGTTGTTTGTTTTGCTGTTGAAGGTTTGCGCCATAACAACCACTGGTACCGGTAACTATATATATGGAAATGCCAAAACAGAAAACGAAAAATTTTCGCATATTTATTTTTTTTGTCTGTCTGTCTGTCTGTCTGTCTGTCTGTCTGTCTGTCTGTCTGTCTGTCTGTCTGTCTGTCTGTCTGTCTGTCTGTCTGTCTGTCTGTCTGTCTGTCTGTCTGTCTGTCTGTCTGTCTGTCTGTCTGTCTGTCTGTCTGTCTGTCTGTCTGTCTGTCTGTCTGTCTGTCTGTCTGTCTGTCTGTCTGTCTGTCTGTCTGTCTGTCTGTCTGTCTGTCTGTCTGTCTGTCTGTCTGTTCGTCTGTCTGTTCGTCTGTCTGTCTGTCTGTCTGTCTGTCTGTCTGTCTGTATGTCTGTCTGTCTGTCTG